ACAGTTACTACAAAAATAACACAATAAAAATATCACAGGGTGAAAGACATGCCAAACACAACTCTAGCCTTTAAAATTATCAAATATTTGTAAAAATCTAATGGCTCTTGACATGCAAAAATAATTATCAATTAACACATGCATTCTATGTCATCTTGTTTTTGTTTTTTTATACTTAACAACTGTCAGACAAGAACAATAGTTTGAGTTTACGGACATTAAATAAATGTTTATTAAAGCAAACATGAAATAAAAATAGAACCTCTTTGACCCCATATTTATCCATGGGAATTTAAATCTTGCAAATATTTGTTAAAACTAGAAATGTGTCCATAGGACACGGGTGCCCCCACCGCGCCACTGTTCTGTCAATCTTTTTACTAAGTCAAGGGAAATAACTCTACAAATACTGGATAAATCCACAAGCAAAACCCAAGGTGCAAATCTAAATATGCTGAGCAACCTGCCCATAAGGTTTAATTAATGACTATGTCAAATCCTTTTTGAGTAACTTGCGACACAAGTTGAAAATTGCAAAAATTTTCTAAGTGAAGGGCAATAACTCTAAAAATACTAAATAAATCCAGACGAAAATATCTGATGCACAACTGCACATGCTGATCAACATTCCTGTAAAGTTTCATGACTCCAGGTCAAATACTTTTTGAGTTACATGCGACACAAGTTGAAAATTGCAAAATTTTACTAAGTCAAGGGCAATAACTCTGAAAATACTAAAAATATCCAGACCAAAATACCCAGGTGCACAACAACACATGCTGATCAACATTCCTGTAAAGTTTCATCACTCTAGGTCAAATACTTTTTGAGTTACATGCGACACAAGTTGAAAATTGCAAAATTTTACTAAGTCAAGGGCAATAACTCTACAAATACTGAAAATATCCAGACGAAAATACCCAGGTGCACAACTACACATGCTGATCAACATTTCTGTAAAGTTTCATGACTCCAGGTCAAATACTTTTTGAGTAACATGCGACACTAGTTGAAAATTGCAAAATTTTACTAAGTCAAGGGCAATAACTCTGAAAATACTAAAAATATCCAGACGAAAATACCCAGGTGCACAACAACACATGCTGATCAACATTCCTGTAAAGTTTCATCACTCTAGGTCAAATACTTTTTGAGTTACATGCGACACAAGTTGAAAATTGCAAAATTTTACTAAGTCAAGGGCAATAACTCTGAAAATACTAAAAATATCCAGACGAAAATACCCAGGTGCACAACTACACATGCTGATCAACATTCCTGTAAAGTTTCATGACTCTATGTCAATTACTTTTTGAGTTACGTGCGACACAAAAGTGAACGGACGGACGGACGGACGGAAGGACGGACGGAAGGACGGACGGACAGACGGACAAGGGTAAATCTAAATGCCCGCCACTAACGTGGGGGCACAATAAAATCTTCTAAACCATCATGTATTAACTCTGGAAACTGGTATCAGGAATAATTTCAGTCAAAAATTCCACCCCCCTTTCCCAAAATATTTTCTTTATAAAATTTACTCAAAAAAATACTCCCCCATCCCCACATCCCTGAAATTTCAAAAACCACAGAGTACTTCAAATCTGATGTATCAACTAAAGCACTTTTTAAAGAGACAATTATGGATCAATCGCTCCCTCAACAAAATATACTCCATAAAAATGTATTTCTTGTTATTTGAAAATTATGATTTTCTGTTCTAAAATGTCCAACTAAATGCAAGGTTTGCACAAAATGAGTCATGAAACAATATAACAATAAATGACAAGTTCAAGGCTAGAGATATATCTGACACTATTACTTGTGACGCACTCATCGATTTTCGCCCAAATGTGTTTTTAGTCATCGAGAGGAAAAACGCTTGCAAAGTCATACAATTTTTTGCATGTGTATTTTTTCCTGAAAATTGTGTATATACCTCTACACGTACTTTAAAATTGTCAGGATAAAAGTAAACAAGTAAAAGTCAAAAAGATACTTTTTGAACAGCCTTTGTCATATTCCAAATATTTACTGCTTTCAACAAAAATTTATATTTAAACTAAAAATTTGCACTGAGTCAACTCAGGAGAATGGTCAGCGAGTGCACACAAAAAATCACGTGTTTCAAAAATATCTGTTTCCAGCAAATCAGCAGATGTCGATCTACCTTAAAAATGGTTGTTAATCATTTTTGACCAGATAACCCGTTTGGGCCAAAAATTTGTTGAGCTTGTCACATATATTAAAACAGCAGTCATATTAGATCCGCACTTGATATTTGGCCATCTTGAGGTCCTGTATAACTCTATCAGCGTCAAGCTGACGGAAGTATGTATCATCATCGTCCCGTACTAACTGCTCTTGCAGTAACTTGATCTCCCCTTCCATCTTCTTCCGTAAATCTTTCTTCATCGTTGACAATGCCTGAAATATGTTACAAACTTGTTACATCTTTAGCCTGTAGGCAATAAATCATACCCGTGTGACCAGTTTAAGGCACATTCATGCCATCAGATAATGGTTTGCACTGTTCACTATTCAATCAGTACTTATTTTGAATATTTCAATAAAAATGATGAATGGTTTTGACCAGATTGAAAGATGGCCATGTCAAATTTAGTTATGAAGTGTGGTATGTGTTTATCAAATTCAAAAGTTAGACTGACAATTTTAAAGTTTTTAATTATCAGAGGAGGTAAACAGCTTATTTTAGAATTATAATCTTACCATTTAAGACAAAGTGTCAGCATGATCTTATTTATTTGTAAAATATATGCATAATCTTGCTTAAATTGAAATCATGCTAATAAAAAATGTATGCACCATCTTGCTTGAATTGCAATTATGCTTATAAAATAAAAAACATTTTCAAACAACAAATCTTTCAAACTGCTTGAAATTTCAAAATGAATCAAAGCTTTAAAATCTAATGCTTTCATTTTTTTTTCAAATCACTTATTTTATGCTTTATGCAAAATATGATTAAATCAAATCAAAGTGATTTCTAAAATATTCTAAGAATGCAAGTCAAACCTTATGTTGAGCTTTTTCTCTTGTTTCTAATTCCTTCTTTTCCTTGGAAATGTTCTCTGCTAACATCTGGAACTGGTCACGATAACTAAGGTCAAGGTTAAGGAAATTTCATAGGAAAACAACTTCATTTTTCATAGTCTAAGAACTTGACTGAGTAAAGTATTTGGTACATGGCTTATGTCCCTCCTATAGCGGAAACTTTACAAGTATCTGCCCCTAAAACATTTTTAAAATCATGCAATTTTCCTCTGAAATTCAATTAAAAACATGCTAATTTCTTCTCCTTTTGAAAAAATACTGTTATTTTCCCAAAAATTAAAAGGAAAGGCCCCTATTCCTATCTGTGAAAAAACCCTCATATTATACTACTCTTAATTGATTTGTATTTACCATGTTATATTTGGATAATGGACTAACCCTGCTTTAAAACTGGATCAGTCTATTGTCCAATAATACAGATTTAATACAAGAAAACAAAACTCTTTCAGCAAACAGTATTGGCAGACGGCACATATGTGATGGGTCCACTGGCTATATACTGGTTGCATAGGTAAGCCAAGGTTAATACTGGCATTTAGAGGGCTTATAAGATACAAATATATCTAATATTTTAGTTGACTTGTACATGTATCTTTAAATAATCTGTAGATATCTTTTATTTAAAGATACATATAGAAACTACATTTCATAAATTCAGCTAAAATGAAAACAGTATGGGGTAAAACGTGTGAATATTTGTTGCCAAGGATACTAGTTTTCCATGGATTCAATCTCGTTTCTCTGTGATTTGGCCTGAGAATCTCTCTGTTCCTTGGCATACTTTCTCAACTCGGAAATTCTCTCTTTCTGTATCTCTAAACCATCTTTAAACAGCTTTTTAAATACCTGTAAAATAAAACAGATGTTATATTCCCATTCAGATTCAGATTTCAACATTCTTCCTAAATTGTTTAAATTTTGCATTTTGTCATAAGTTAATTGTCAACATGAACAACAATTCTAACATAAAGCTATGAATATATCATAAAAGTAGTGTAATACCCATCTACAGTTGAGTATAAATAATAAGTGTACAAAATAAAAGTCAATACAACTTTACATTTTGCAATACTTGTTTTCAATCTTATACATATATTATTTTATTTGCCAGAATAATCAGTATCGTATGTGATACACAGAATTCCTGTATATATTCATCAGGTTTTTTTTTAGGAACATTTGATTGATTTAAAGATTAATTTTAATTTACTCTTAACTCCATGACTGTGAAATGGCTGGACTATTTCAAAATAAGGAGTTAAACCAGTCCAGTTTCAAGATTAAAGGGACTACACTGAGGTTTTTTTTACTTGAAAGGATGGAAAATATTTTCCAAGATAAGTGTACCAATTGATTAGGGTCTTATACAATATCATGTGTACATATTTTCAGCTCCTTCCTTTACCCTATTTTACCAGAATAATCTTTATTGTGAAAAATGACCCAAAAAAGAAAAGTGATAAGAATCGCATAAAAATTGATTTTCAGTTTAATTCTGTACATATTACTTTAATATCCATTACAAATTTTTCCAATTTTAGTGCTTTTCTTGATACACGTTAAATTTTCAAAATCTTTTTTTTTACTTTTGACCTCAGGGAAGTTCCTTTAAAGGTTTTTTGTTAACATTATCAATTTTTATTTTGGTTACAATCAAGTTTTACCATTTCTTCTCTCGTTCTTCTTTTCAACATTTTAGATCTCATTCTGACTTGATACTCGTCGTAATAATGCTGTGATCTCGCCGACTGCATACGTCTCTCGTGAATCTTGTTACGTGAAGATATAGCACTGGCCTGTTGTTCCTTAATCTCTTTCTGTGAACATACAAAATATTTAACTTAGTAACAGAATATCAAAATAAACTTTATGTTTAAATGAATGGCATTGCAATGGTTATGAACCCACAATTAATAAATTTCACACAAATAAATTCATTAGATCACATTTTTATTTATTTAACACCATGAAACTAAATGATTGCTTGTTTGATTTTTACGCAAATTGTAAAACAATTTTTAGTCATATCTTAGCAGTCTGTCATCCTAATTTCCTTTCCTAGATAACTAACCAGTTATTACTAATTTTAACACAAGTGGCATACTAGTAATGCCACATGATTTTTGAATCAGTGATCACAGACAAATGACCCAAATAGACCCAATGTCAGGAATTAATTGTCAAGAAAATTGTTTTGCCTCATCCATGGATCAAATCACCACTCCTGACAAATCTCTGCGCTAAATAGACTTGATTTAGCTGAAAAGCTGGAAAGATGACATACCGAAATAACATCTTTAAAACCCCTCAAAACACTATAAACCTACCAGTCTTTGGTTATGTTCCAGCTCTTTTTTCATGATATTTACTAAGATTTCTTGTCTCTTTTCTGCCTCTTCCAGCTGTAATAAAAACATGTACTTTAAATTCACAGGAAAAAATGGTTAAAAATCTATGAAGGACTCCAAAGTGCAAGTAAGCTTATAGCGATTCTTTTTTATCCAATTAGCTAGACTTTGTATTCTCTCTTAAAAAATAAAAAAATCCATTTTTCTTTTTTTTTTGTATTTATCAATTACAAAGATAACAAAGCATCTAAATATTTGTACCCGACAATGGCCTACCAACCTGATTTTGAGCATGAGATTTTTTCCTCCTAACTTCTTGATGTGCACGGGTAACTTGTTCAATCTGTGTTAGACCTTTCCGCCATAACTCGTGCCAAGTGTGAAGGGATAGGTGTAAATGTGGGAACTCTTCTAATAACATTGGTAATATATCATCATCATCTTTTATAGTTACTGAAGAAAGAAATTACATATATGTATTACTGAAAGAAAAGATCAGTGTCCGGAGAGCACTTGTTTATAAACAAGGAAAATAACCTTTACATTGCTAAATTTATAACAAAGCTTGCTCTGCTTTAAAGTGAATTGGTCTAAAATAGGAAATCTGTAAAACAACAGTGATGTAACTTACAAGTTTTCTTTTGAGGTTTAACAAGGCTAGTTCCAGGAGCTGCTTTCCTTACTTTACTACTGACTGCCTTGGGCTGAGCTCTTCGTGTTTTCTTCTTTAACACTGATGGCCCTACAATATAATGTCATATTAAATTTAAAATTCCTAAAACTGTCAATATTTTTATGGTTACTCAAAATGAAACCTAATTTATACAAGTATTTTTCACTGTATTTTTCATTGTATTTTAGAACAAACTACATGTACACCTGTCTTTTTTTCACTGAAATACAAAATGCACACTTTGTCTGATGACATTCTTTGCTATGGCAACAATACTAAGGTAACATGGCAACTTTTTGGGCCAAAGACCACACAAATTTAATGAATTAAACAGAAAATATGGAAAATGATAATAGAACAAAAACATATCACTAAAATACTTCATTAAACTATATCGCCCCTTACATACCTTCTTTTTCCTCTTTTGGCTTGCTTTTAACCCCTGATATCATCTTTTTCTGATATTCCTTCTCCTGCAAACATACAGAAATAAGTTGTTACAAAAAGGTAAAACTGGTTATAACTAAAAAAAATAAAAAAAAAATAAAAATTTTTTTATACTTTAAAAAAATTGGTTTTTTTTTCAGTAAATTTAATTTTGCCAAAAAAAAATTTTTAAATTATGGTAAAAAGGTTGTATGTGAAAAAAATTAAAATGTAAATTTTTTGGGTTAAAATTTTTGGTGATTTCCATGAAAAATTTCCCCCAAAAAAAAGTTTTGATTATGGCCTTTAAAACCAAAAATTTCACCATTTAAAAAAAAAAATGAACCCATTCCCACCTAAAGTCACCAAAATTCCATTCAAATTCAAACTTCCATCTTAATTTCCTTTTCCCAAACAAAGGTTTTAAAACCAAAATTCCCTCCCCTCACATTCTTAAATTAACCTTCCCCAAAAAAGGTCACCCCTTTATTCAAACATTCAAAACTTTTAAAATTACCTTTCCCAAACAAAGGTCACCCATTCATATCTAAAAAATTTTTACTCCCCCAGGGTTTTTAAACAACCTTTTAAAAACCCCCCCCATAAAAAACAACAACATTCTGGCATTTGTACCATAAATAAAGTTAAAAACAACCAAATCTCCACAGAACAAAAATTTTCAAATTTTTATAAAAAAATTTTTAAAAATAAAAATACCCTATTTTAGCACTTGTCTTTTTTGTCCAGGATAATCTCCCCGTCCAGAAGCCATCTAAATCTTCACGATAAATCTTTTGCAAGAACTGGAATAAGAAAATTTTATGACATTCTTACCACAGAAACTTATGTTATAAGAGCCTCATGACATTATTGAAGATGTCTCAGACAATTAATGAAGGTAGCTGATATTGCATTTCTGGAGGCACCACATAGCATTATCTAAAGTACCTCATGCCTCATGGCATTATTGATACCTAAGATATCTCTCATAATTTAAATATGACATCCAACAGAATTACTTGAGACACCTCATAGCATCATTTAAGAAACCAGTGTTAATGAGGTAGTATTTATTTCACAGCAATGAAAGATACATGACTTTATTCCATCAATATATAACATTTCAAAAGACACAGTTCACATTTTAAAACAAGAGCTGTCGGTAGGACAGCAACGCTGACTATTCTTAGTGCTTGATAGTAAAAAAAATGCTTGATACAGTTACCTCCTCCTGTTTACAGGTTGGGGTCATGATGGTGAACAAGTGTGCAAAGTTTCAAAGCCATATGTCAATGGACTTTGAAAATATTTGAACTATTACAAAAACTTTAACGTAAATTCTAAGTCGAAAAAGGGGCATAATTCTGTCAAAATGCTTGATAGAGTTACCTCCTCCTGTTTACAGGTTGGGGTCATGATGTTGAACAAGTGTGCAAAGTTTCAAAGCCATATGTTAATGGACTTTGAAAAATATTTGAACTATTACAAAAACTTTAACGTAAATTCTAAGTCAAAAAAGGGGCATAATTCTGTCAAAATGCTTGATACAGTTACCTCCTCCTGTTTACAGGTTGGGGTCATGATGGTGAACAAGTGTGCAAAGTTTCAAAGCCATATGTCAATGGACTTTGAAAATATTTGAAACTATTACAAAAACTTTAACGTAAATTCTAAGTCGAAAAAGGGGCATAATTCTGTCAAAATGCTTGATAGAGTTACCTCCTCCTGTTTACAGGTTGGGGTCATGATGGTGAACAAGTGTGCAAAGTTTCAAAGCCATAGTCAATGGACTTTGAAAATAATTTGAACTATTACAAAAACTTTAACGTAAATTCTAAGTCGAAAAAAGGGGCATAATTCTGTCAAAATGCTTGATACAGTTACCTCCTCTTGTCTACAGGTTGGGGTCATGATGGTGAACAAGTGTGCAAAGTTTTAAAGCCATATGTCAATGGACTTTGAAAATATTTGAACTATTACAAAAACTTTAACGTAAATTCTAAGTCGAAAAAGGGGGCATAATTCTGTCAAAAATGCTTGATAGAGTTTACCTCCTCCTGTTCTACAGGTTGGGTCATGATGGTGAACAAGTGTGCAAAGTTTCAAAGCCATATGTCTATGGACTTTGAAAATATTTTGAACTATTACAAAACTTTAACATAAGTGGTTACGGCCGACGCCGACGCTCGGGTGACTGCAATAGCTCTACTTATTCTTATCGAATAGTCGAGCTAAAAACCTACCCCAATTTTTTTCTTGCCAGTTTTCTTCTCCTGGCTTAACAATTTTTGAGTATCTCCAACAGTATAGAGAGCTCTCTTGGTCTGTTGGTAAGTTTCTTTGTAATTTGTCTTTCTGTAATAGCAGCTGACCCGGAACCTTTCCGGGAAACCATCGTCAGACAGATCGGGCCAAAATGTCATGGGTACCTGTAAATTTGTGAAAAGATGTCCAGAAACTGTCATGATAAGCTAATAATGGACACAGGAACATTATACTATAACATATACGCGATAAGTGGATATTTTGGTGTGTCAAAAAGTTGGCAAATTTAAAATTCCACACATTTTCGTGAGAAAATGTAAGCCAATCGTGCAAAATTAAAATTTAATGACAGGTTGGTTGATATTTACACTAGAGGAAATTTTTGCGATTTTTGTCAATTTGCAAAATTTGCCAGTATTTTCAAATTGATAACATAACCACTTTTACAGTAGACTAGCAAACCCTAAGAAATTCCTTTTCATCAGGAGTTTCCCTTGACACTTTTAGCGTATCTGCACAGCTGTGCTTCAATTTAAAAAATCCAAAACCTTTCATTGGCCATAGGATTATGCTAGCACTCTATAACAGACATCATTGTTGTTTGTCAATGTTCTCAGTAAATGATGAATTTTACATTTGACACAAACTATAAATTACATATCATAAAACATATTTAGAAGATGAAAAAAAAATCAAGATTTCACTTTTTCTGTGTATTGAAAAATGCTTGAAAAGTTTACAAAAGTGTAGGAAAATCTTGAGGTTTATTTGAACTTCTCAAGACTCCTTTTCTAGGAATAACCAGGGTTTAAGGTTATGAAACTATTTTCAAAGTTCTGTCTCAAATCTCAGGATTTTCATTGGTCAGTGTACATTCTGTGACAATTTCTAACCAATCAAATACCTGAGATCTGAGTCTGAGCTTAGACAATTTCTTCATAACCTTGAACTCTAAACTCCTATCATATGAGAAAAACAAGCTCCCAACCCTAAGAAAGGCTTGAACCCTCAACCTCTGGGTTGAGGGAAAGATATCATTAAAATTGTTCCACCTCTTCACCACGTTAATTTACAATGAAAGGGTCAATGTCATACTAGAGAAAAAAACTTTTTGATGCAATTTAGTTATTCATTTGACCATATCCACGCTAAATAAATGAACATGTCTTACTCTCCATTTAGTCAATCTGTTCATTATTTTTAGGGGAATTTCAATATAAGTTCTGACTCACTGAAAAGTGTACAGTGCACACCATGATCAGACAGATGAATGTGCCGGCTGAGCTTGGTCTGCACTAGTCACATGGCTAGAATCTGTCGGTGCTAGCAGGGTATGAGTTAATCTTTACATCAATATTACTTTTTCATTCTCAATTAAAGGGAGACAATGATATGTATAACTTACTGCTTCTTTAGCCTGTGTTCATAACTTGTGTTCTCTTTATCACTGTAAATATCTTCAAAGGACAGATAACTCCCACTAGCAGCTGCTGAACTTCGTGATTTGGCACCAGTTCTTCCCCTTTGATTACAAAAAAAATTACATTAAATGCATGAATTTATGCAGGGAATAGTAATCACACTTTAATATAATGTTTTATATGGTAGGGATACTTGTCTTAATTGTAAGAATAGCATGCAAATTCAGTTAATTTGAATCACATGCTCAGGCTCTGAATGAAAATGATTAAATACTTATACTTTATAAAGAAGCTATGGACAAGACACAAAATATACCCTGTTCTTTGTTAATCTTTGACCTCAAAGTGTGACCTTAACATTAGATGTAGGCAACTGGATGTTAGGCATGACAGATCAATATTTTCAAAATTCCTTCACAAATAAGAAAGTTATGGACCAGATACTACATATACCCTCAAATAGACAATTTTGACCTTTAATCACCAGGGGCGACCTTGGACGTACATGTAGGGGTCCGGATGTTGCACATGACACATTGTCTTATTATAACAAACATTTGTGTAAAGTTATTTCAAATTCCTATGACAAATGACTTAATTATGGACCGGACAAGAAAGTGTGACGGACAGACAAAGCCTATTTCTATATCTCCCTTTTTCTTCGAAAAGGCAGGTGACAAAAAATGAAGGAACCTAGTTAGGAATTTCTTTTTTACATACATGTATTTATAGTAAAAAAAAAAAAATTATTTTGAAAAATCAGAAAAAAAAAATATTTAAGTTCTAGTCTTAGCAATTAAAAGAGGATAAGTGTGGGACCTTTAGCCTAATTTGCTAAAACATACTTTTCAGGGCTAGGCTTCCCAATACTTGGACTAGACTCTGTCAATGACCTCTCCACCAGGAATGACACTTTCCTCTTGGCTCGGCTTGGAGAAAGCTGAAGGAGAACATTTGTAAATTTATTACATGCTTGTGTTTTTTTTCTTTTTGTTTTTTTTTGCTCAATCTTAGTAAAACTGAAATTGTATAATCATACATTTATATCTTATACTATGACAAAGTCAAATGAAACAGGAATAGAATAAAATAGATCATTTCAATTGAATTAAACGAAAGAAGAAAAAAATTGTATATACAATTATACTTATCATAATTTAATGCAAAGAAAGTAAGTACAGTAAGTGACTGATAAAATTCAATCAATACAAAGCTGACATGGGTTTCCACAATGATAGCCGAACTTTAATTTTCATCTTGATATCTCCAAAATTGAAGATGGACAGTTTCAAAAATGGAAGGCAGTCATACCTCATTATCAGAAAGTTTATCCGCTGTTTTTGGACTAGGTTTCCTGGCAGAGGGTGAGGCACGCTTGTTTGTTCTCTGTCTAAGATCTTGTTGTTCTCTCCTTGACCTAGCAGTGACCTCTGACCTTCCTCTGACCCCTGACCTTGTCTGACCTCTGTATGGAGATTTTGAAGCAGCAACAGCCCTGTAGAAACAGTTATTTAATATGAATCACATTCAAGATCAATGCATAAAATAGTACATGAATATTCATCAATTATACTAAATGTGTATTACTTTTTCAACATTCCTTTTTATATATTCCCTATCACTTTATGACTAAAATATTGCTGAATGGCTCTTAACCCCACACCACACCCCCTGAAAATAATAAGTGCTGACCTAGTGATAATGCCACATGCCTGTTAACCTATGTATTGTAGATTCAAGCCCTACTTTAGTCTTAAACAGGTTTCCTCATGTATTGCAAGGACTTTTTTCATAATTGAGCTTAAATAAATATGTTTAATTTTAAACAAAAGAAATAAATCATAATATATATATCCATTGTTTATAAAAGGATCATGTTCTTTTAAAGAAGTTGCACTGAACCCTATGATTATATTTTACCTTCTTTGTGAATTGACTGCTTCCAGATTCTCTAACATGGACTTTGCACGTGATGGACTGCAATCTACGGCCTCACGTGCCATGGCTGCTGTTTCTTCTACCATATTCTGTAGATTTCTGAAAGTTTCATCCGTTTCCTGATCGTGGGCGTGTGTTTCAGCATGGGTCGGTGGTAACATGTACCTGTACCGAGGATCGTTCTCAAGACGCCGGATTATATCAGCTCGACTTTCACGTTCCCTTACTAAACCTACAAAACAAATTCATATTTTTTGTCTTAAGTTAAACCTTAAAACAAAGTCATGTTTTTTTTTTGTCTTAAATTTATGTGACATCAATTAATTTTGTAAGCATGAAATTTCATGGTTTTAACAAAAAGAACATTTTCATGGATATTTATATGTTTAGATTTCCTGTTCTTGCAAAAAAAGTAAATTGCAAATAATATAATACATAAAATAATCTTCCAGCCCCTAAAATAAAATTTTGTTACATCTTAAATTTCTCAAATGACCAATCCATGAAAACCATGTGTCCTACAAATAATAATGATATGGCAGAAACACATCCATCTTTAGCTTGTGAAAATTTGGCATTAACAAAAAATAAACACTTTAAGACAACATCAACATTCAAATCTTTTGCTTATAAATTTCCAACTACCTTCACTCATTGGCGGTTTATCTGTAACAATTGGAGATTGTCTCCCTTTATCTGAGACCTGTGGTTGTGAAATGTGGGGTTCTGGGAATCTCACAGCTTCTTCACTTAATCTTGATTCTCTTTCAGACAAACTGCTGAGCAGTCTTTCTTTCTGTCTTTTAGTTTCCTCGAGTATTCTTCTCTCCTCCAAGAGACGTCTCTCCAACTCTTCCGTTTCTCTGATCAAATCTGCTGTTGATTCCACTTTATCTGAATATCAAAACAAAACTATGGTAAAATGTGGGGAAAAATTGTATTTGTTATATAATTTTATTAACTATTAAATGGTAAAAATCTTTAAAATATAGAAATTATGATGAATTACAAACCCAAACAAAACTGAATGAAAATTCTAAAAATCTTTCATAGATAGAGCAAGGTTTGATACTTATAACCATTCAAAACTGACCACAAAGATTGCTTGTCAGTCATTTTAATTTTCAATTTAATGAGTATTAATATGCAAACCTTTTGATGGAGTTAGCGACAAATCTTCAATTGTTAAATCGAGACCATCTCTATCTTCTCCACGCCTTCTCCTTGACGGGCTAGACCTATTTGTAAGCAAAATACCAACAAGTTGAAATTAAATTACGTTTTCAACATGAGTCTCCTTAGTTGTTTAATCAATTATAATTTAGCAAGATGTACATTTATAGGAATATACTACAAGACAGGTTATAAGAAATAAAATTTTACATGTGTGTATTATATATTACATATAATACATATTATAATTAGTGCAATAACTGGTTAACCCCTATTAGATTTAGTAGAATTTAACCCATTAACAATAATTTAACCTGTTACTGCACTAAGGTGACAATTTGAGTGTCTCATTTCAAAGTCTATATCATCAAAAGAAGGTACATAAAAGTGTGTTAGTGAACCACTAACCCAATAAAATTATTACCATATGGCAAAAGATAAATTATGACTTTACCAGTGTTGTTAAAAAGAGATGTAAAAAGCAACATTTAATGCAATACAAAATATCGTTTATCACATACCCATGCTGATTTTGCGACACCGTAAAAATGGTAATGCATGGGCATGCATATATTTACATTATACAAACATCGTGTAAAGATGTGCTAAATGTTAGTATTACGCTATTGGGGCATCAATGTAAAATTATTCTTTTGCACTTTAAATAGTCTTTATTTTGGGTATGTGATAGATAGAATACACTCGTGTAGGTTCTGAACTCATTGAATAAAAAAATAGTTTGCTAGCCAGAGGATCAAATAATATAATTTTGTTCAACTTGTTCAATAAATTCAGTATAGAACCAACACTCATTCAATATCCTCTATATATGGGTTTTCTTATTACAAAAAGAAATATTGCATTTCTCATCAAATTATCATTTTAGAGAATAAGTCAGTGAAACATACTCTTCAACCCATCTCGCTGTCGGGCCAGCATTTTTTATTCCAGTTGCCTCATTCAACAGTCTCTCTCTTCGCAGTTCTGACTCAAGAATTTCATCTATCTGGTCCCGCGTGATCAGATCTGGGTCATCAGCTGTTAGGTTATGGCCATCTTCCTCTGTAAATAATATTACGATACAAGAGCTGTCAGTAGGACAGTGTGCTCGAGCATTAGATTTATGGGCCTTGGACAGTGACCTCCTATTATGCCCTCAAATAAGTGTGTGATGTTTCAACGCATTCCCTTCAATCGTTTTTGAGATACTAACTTGCACATAAGACTTAATCAAAGTGTGATGCTGACGCCTGGGTGAGTACAATAACAGTCCCTATTCTTCAAATAGTCAAGCTAAAAAAGGTATTTTCACATCTCAATTTTTTTTCCTGTCTACTTTTAGAAGCAGTGGTGACACATATGTAGGCAAAAAGTGTGTCTGAATTATCCTTTTACTGTATTTTTTAATAGTATTTTACAATTCCATTCAAATAAGAATGGAAGTTACATGTACAGATTTTACTTTTAAACACTAGAATAGCATATGACTGGTTTACTGTAAAATAGACCAAGTTCAAACCAAAAAACTTTCAAAAACTAAAATAATTCTCATAATCTGACTCTAAACACATAGTTCTCCATTCTATTTCACTAGATAAAAGTATCATAAAATTGAATTTAACTTCAATGACAAGTCAAAATTTATCTATATTTCAAAACTGTAATATAAATAAATGATCAAGAGAAAAACATCAAAGAGATATTGATTGACAGAAGAATATAAAAGACACATTGCTATCATTTCTATCCATGACAGCCCTACTTTATTTTAGGATGCACTTCTTATAGTAGCATATATTGTTAAAATGGTACAAAAAGAGAAAAAAATTTGAGCCCCGTCACAACAAAACCAACATAATGGGTTTGCGACCAGCATGGATCCAGATCAGCCCGCGCATCTGCGCAGTCTGATCAGGATCCATGCTGTTCGCTATCAGTTTCTCTACTTGTAATAGGGTTTGTAAGCGAACAGCATGGATCCTGATCAGACTGCATGGATGCGCAGGCTGGTCTGGATCCATGCTGGTCGCAAACGCACTATGTTGGTTTTGTCGTGACACGGCTCATTTAAAAAAGGCACCAACCATTATCAGTGGAAGCGTCACTATCAATCTTGTTTAGCATGTACTCTAGAAGACCGGAAAATATCTCAACCAGGTTATTTATTCCTTCTCGGTTCCCATCAATAACGTCGGCACCACCGATGTGAGTCAGGGACGTGTGTAAAACATCTCCTGCTAGTGAGTCTATCACTATCTGACAGTTATGAATTTCATCTTCTCTGGTGTTAGCAGACCTTATTATACCTGGAAAGTAATTTTGCTTGTGATAACTGAGTATATGTATGTGACCAGTACAGACCAAGATCAGCCATCCGTCAGGTCACATCTGTGCAGTCTTATCCTGGTCTGCTCTGTATACTTTTCAGTCAGTGCATATTTTGAAATTTTCCTACCGTCATTTATGTTTTTTGTCCTGATTAGAAGATTAGCAAAGAAGGGTTAATCAAAATTGAAAACTGATAAAAGTATTTGACCTTAAAACTGTTTTTTGGTAAACAATACACTACAAATTAATCTAATTCAGCTATCATCTAGCAAATGACGATTTCTTTCAATCTAAAATGTCATGCTTAAATGATATCGGTCACGCAAATATCACTGGCATTTTTACAAGAAAACTCTGGATTTTATACAAATATTACAGCTGCAATTTATAAATATCTAAAAATATTTTGCTATCAGTCTAAAAACCAAGCAGTATACCTCTTTATGAACCTATATAACAGTGTTGTTATAAAAGCAAACAAATACTGTTTAGAAATTATGATTTTAAAAGGAAAACCCCATGGTAACACTTCAGATTGTATTCAAATTTGAAGGCTGTAATTAGTTTGTGTATGCGTTAGACTTAAAAAAAACAACAATAGCTTTTTAACATTCATAAGAAACACTAATATGTTACATAATGTATACATATGTATATCAGCAAGCTTACCTGGAAGTTGTTCTCCACACAGACCTTCATACAATGTGACGAATACACCAGCACCAATGTCAGCTACTGTGTTAATACGGCTTGGAACATGAAGCTGGTCGAGAAGCCCATTTAGCTTGTTTACAATGGCTAAAATAAATGTACATCTGTCTGTTAGCATGTTAGCATTTGAATATCAATTCATGTGATTAAATATCTCAACATATAGGATATCAATGGTAAGGAAATTAACCAGTTATTGGTGAGTAAAATATAGTAAATAATTTAATTGTTAATGTATTTTTTTTTTTTTTAATTTATCAAACATGATAATCAGACAAAGCATTTTTCTTTGATAAAATATTTCTTAAAGATATAATATGCTCATCCTTAAGTAAAATATTTTAATCACAGAAATTTATTGAAATCTATGAAATTCTTACTGAATATGTCTAATTTGAATAAAAGAATGAATAACTTTGTATAGGATGCTGCGTTTCCTATTACAGGTCAAGTAAGGTTGGTCTTTTCTTAGAAAATGACACTCTATATTCATATTGTGACCACCTATAATGTGTAAAATTCTAAACTTTGTGTGAAGTAAAAACATGTTTATTTTATATTTACAAAGAGACTGTGTTGTAATTTTAAATATTTCTGATATCAAATTTGAGCATAATATATCTATGATTAATTAATAAGCATACCTTTATCCTCTTCTGAGAAGGTTACAGCCCTTGGACCCATGCCTTCTTTTATATTTTTTTCTTTTTAGCTTCTCTGAAATAAAATAAGATTTTCAATACAGCAGGATATAAGAGACAGTAACTTTTCCTGTGGCAAAAGAATGTTCCATCAATACTATGGAAGTGAAACATTACCAGATGTTGCTGAGACTAGGTCGGAGATACATTGGAGGAAGAATCCATAGAGAGACAGATCTGAAGACCCAAGATAAAGATGCCAGTGTCAAAGAATATTGGAAATTAAATTTGCCAAACTTAATTAAAGAAAGATTTTTACCTTTATCAGTTGATATATATATATATGAAAAGAATATTTGGATATTCATATGCAGCATAATAACATCATCCAGCATGCAACTAGTTTATAATAAGCACAAGAATGATGTCACATAAACTTATATGCACAAGATGTAAACACTATATAATCCGGTCTGATATGTAAATTGAAATTGTTAAAATAATTATTGATAATAAAGATATATGAATGATATTCAAAGTGAAACTTTCTTTTAATTTTTTTTCTTTTTACCTTAATAGAGTGTGGAATAAAACAGCAAGATACAAAACAGCAGCAGAATTATTATCTGCTTGAAAAATAGCATATTAGTGATCTCCCTTGTTTTACCTTCTTAAAATAAAAATATCGGTCTGAGCAGTTAAATGCAGCAGAACTGACCAAGAAGGCTGTAGTTTTCAGTAGTTAATTTTTTCACAAGACTCATCAAAAAGACAAACTGGTGTTAAATAGCCGATAAACGCCTCAGAGATCAATATTATTTCTTAACAGTTAATTGAAAAACAAAGCTTAATGACTGTTGGACGCCAACATGAGACTCCTTATGTAATTGATAGGTGCGTGTCCTGTTACATAATTTCTCTAAAATGCAGTTGCTTTGCAAAGAAGTAAAGATGTTGCAAAGCAAAAATTTATAGGAGTCAAAACAGAATTGGTGACAATGAAGTCAGATAACCAAAATCATCTGTTCCTAATTTTGATAAATTTGCACATGTAAGAATAAAGAGATGGATTTTTCTTGAATTACTATGACATTAAGTTGCAAAAATACAAGTTCTCTTTTGATGATGACTACTTTGTTAAGTCCCAGAATTTTTCAAACAAGCTAAAACATGCTTCATTAAAAGTCAATCTACAAAAGTCGTTTGCTTTTCAAAGGAAGCGCATAAATTTTTGTTTTATTAAAAAGTAATTTGAAAGTGAACCTTAAGGAAAATTTATAATACAAATATATAATCATTGCTTACCGATTTTGCTAAAATATTTTAGATTTTCTTCCCTAAATAATTTGGAGAATTCCTAAACAACTGAAGAGTTGCTAAGGGGCGTTACTCTTGACATACTTTAACCGGTAACGGTTCAAATACGGGTTTTATCAAGGGTCTGGTCACGGAAATTCCTGTTGCAGCAGTCCAAAATCAAAACATGTCTAAAACAATTGATCCTTTGACACTGATTCGACAGACTGTGGAAAACAAAGGCCATGGTGCCAGTCATGTTTTTGTTGTGTTTGGAGCTTCAGTAAGTATGCTTGTTTTTACTGTCATTTGCTTGATTTAGTGCAAGTAACTTCAGTTAACAGCCACAGGTTAAACTGTTGAACATTGTTACACAACACTCAACAGATTATACAGTACATAAATTTGTATGTTCAGAAGTGATAAGTAAAGAATATGACGATTATTACTGTCATGTCAACCTGGCATATTATAGTCCATGTAAAAACATGTTAGAAAAGAAAACAAGGCTTAAGGCATCAAACAAATATATTTGAATGAATTCATGTCTGCTTTCACAGCTGAAATAGATCTATAGCCTCAGAGTCAGAGTGTCATTTACAATACATACAAGAATTAGAATAAATTACATTGTGTGAAGTAGACCTAGTGTGTATTTAAATTTTGCGGCCGCATTAAAGCAATTCAATAGAATGATTGGCAGAAGGTAATTTCTTGCATATTTCATTTATAATAGAAATGTCACTTAATGACTTATCAATTCAGTAATAGATTCATCAATATAATGTTGCATCACAATACAATGTTTTATGTTAGATTTATGCATAGGAATGTTATTCAAATTGCAAATACAGCACAGATTTCATCTTGAATTTCTTATATACAGTTGACAAAGCTACATGTATGCACAGACATTTTCTAACAGGAAAATAACTTTCAAAAATAGTATTTAAACTGTTGCATCTTTGTTTAATGTATGTTAGACTATCAAAGTGTATAGGTCTAATTTGTTGATCTGTGGCTTATCTGCCATGTATAAGTATAGCGTTACAAATGCAAAAATTGAATTTGTTCAGATTATCACGGGATTATTGACTATGTGGTAACATCAAGGAATTATTTAGTGTGTAGAGAACTCTGCTCAATGGTGCATTACCGAATGACTTGGGTGCATACATTGGTTTGCTACACAAACCGTAGACATGATGCTCTGGGATAAAAAATATTTTTAGTCCCAGATGATGATTTATCTATAATCTATCAAGGTATTGCAGCTATAACTGTCCCATGTTAGGCACCAAATGTCACAGGATTAAAAGAAATCTGAAGCCTGCAGGGACACTCAAAAAAATTAAGGAACTTTCTACGATTTCTTACTGATTTTAATTTAGCTGCCCAGCTGCTTATACATTTTTCTTTCTTCTTGAAAAAATTTTCTGTGCAGTGACAAAGATTTTTTCTTGACTTTGATATTAAAAGACAACAAGTTTCATTTTTTTTGAGAATGGATGTTAATTGAATATAATTATTAAAGTGTACTTTATATACTACCTTCTATACTTAAGCTTGAATGATTGGGAAAATGCAAAAAAATGGAATAAAGTAGCCAGAGGCGACCCAAATTAAACATTTCAAGCATTGTACAGTATTTTCTTTCATAATAATATTTCTACTTGTTTGTAATGGAAATGTGCTGATATAAAAAAATTCAATGTTGTGAATCATTTTGCATTCTAGAACAAAATGATATCTCATAATGAAACTTTTGGACATAAACGAATGGTGTCAAATCTGGGACAAAAGTCAGGAACACAGGGTAAAATCTAGGACACATGACTTCAAATATGTGCATGTAAACCATATAAAAAATACAAAGAATACAGTTAGATATGTTAGACATGTACATTCATGTATACAATATAGTAATTTGTTACATGCTTTGGAATTCAATAAATACAAAGAATAATATTTGATATATTATTTACAATATAGTCACATATGTTACATTGTACAATGCTGTGTCTTGAAATATTCATACATGTACAGTGTTTTTGCTTCACAGACATTTAAATAAAACAACATTTACCAGTACTTGAAATTTTGTCAAATATTTTGCTTCATTATTCTGCATGTGATATGAGCAAGAGATTCTACCCATGTAAGCATCAGCTGGAACATCATTCTGTGCTGTCTGATCATGGTCTGCACTGTTGATAAATGTTTAAGTCTAGATTGAAAGTCCATTTAAGATATTTCAATAAAGTAAATTGAAATGTATGAACAGCTTTGTATTGAAACATTGAAGCATGTTTTTTTTTTAAGGTGATATTTATGAAAGCATTGGATAGTTATGAAACAATTTGTCATAAACAAGCAAAATATAAACACATGGTATTTTAAATGAGCCTATGACATGTATGAATAATTTAAACTTTAAAGATAAAAAAGGGAGCTGTTCTCGGGGCTGAATGAAAAAATGGATTCCATATATTGTTTATGATTGTTGTGGTGCAAAAACTGTTACATAGCCCATTATTAAAACAATTCAGAAGGTATCAATACGAAACTTAGAATACTTGCTAATCATGACATTAAGCACAGTTTCAAGACATGGGGTGTTATTCTGAAATCTGTTTTGGAGTTATGTCCCTTTTCAACATAGAATTTTTTATTAAAATTACAATTTATACGTAAAATGATTTGAAAACTATACAAGGTATCAACATGAACTTTGGAATACTAATTTGTCATGATAACAGACAAGGCACAGTTGTGAAACAAGGGGCATTATCCTGAAAGCCATATTTTTAGAAGTAAAAGCCCTTTAATTTTTTTATATTTGATTTTTCGTCAAAATTGCTTATAAAGCAGGAATATTTCAAAACTTATCAAAAGTATCAACATGAAACTTAATAAAGTACTTGATATTCATAACAAGGCAAAGTTGTAAGACATGGGGCATTATACTGAAATTAAAATGTTTAGGAATTATTCCCCCTCTTAACATAGAATATTTACAAAAATTGGCTACAATGTTAGTCATTATCATGAACAGACAAGTATGAACACCCCAATGCAGTGCTGTTGTATTATTAATTTATGTGTAGTTTTTACAATGAAATATATTATGATAGTTTTGTAAATAAAAAAAGGTACAAAAAGAGTTAATTACCTTAACCCTTTCCCCCATGAGCATATTGTGAAAAATGGCCATTTTCACTGAAAAGCCTCCTGTTACAAGTTCAAACTGCTATGAAACTATGAAAAATGCTTCAATACTAATCAAACTTGGCACAAATGTTGACTGGACCATTGCCTTTGTAACGACATGCTCAGTCTTAAATTTCCTGTTACCATGGCAACGAGGGGACATCTCAAAATTGCCAAAAATCACTTTTTGCCTCGATTTTTTCCATCAAAATTTATTTCAAAGTGATGCAACTTCTCAAGGGATTGAGATAGAGTCAAAGGCTTTTCAGCGTTGGTTACACGTTACCTTATGATCGACCTGGGGTCATTTTAAGCCTCTCACAAGTCCAAAATTTTCTTGGCGATGAGGGGGACTCCGCCCCCTTCAAACCCCCCAAACAGAAGGGGGCACATCCCCCTTCAAACCCCCCAAACAGAAGGGGGCACATCCCCCTTCTGGCAACCCCCTGATGTAATATTTGGATGGGGGACGGCGCCGAAAAAATCGTCACTTTTTTTAACAACATTTCTCAAACGAAAGACAGTGTTTGGGGCCTAAATATGGCATTTTTTCACTGTTTGAGGCCTCAAAAAGGGGGGGGGGGGCAAAAAGCCGTCGAAACACGCTTATATAAGGGAAAAGGTTAAAATTTACACAGGATGTGTATTTGACCTAAATTTATCAAAATATGTAAAAAAGTGATTTTTGGGGAAAAAAATTGAAAAAATATTGCAGTATTGCGCTGATGCATCCATATAATGTGTGTTTTTGACAATGATATTCTGAAAATCTGAATTCTTACATTGCATAATGAGTAACATTTTTAGAAAATATCACTTAAATTTTAATGCATTGATAGTAAATAAAATTCTACTTTCACGGGGATTGTAATAGATAAGGTTAAATAACCATAAACTCTACAAAAATGTGTCACCATTGAATGAAAGTGATCCACTTCAGTTTGCTTTTTCGGTCATAAAATGTTGCTCGGATGGAATTAAAAACTGTAAAAGTATTTACTCCTTTTTAATAATATGAATGCAGGGTTAGGATATTTAACATCAAAATTGAATTACTCCACCATTTATCAAAATTATTCATAATCTGAATTCCATATAAAATTACAAATTGATGTTTTATAATCTTTTTTCTATTGATTTCAAGGTGTGTGGTGTAACAGGTAGATATATAAGTCAATTGCATTGGGAATATTTTATCAATTTTGCTGTCGATTTATTTTACATATCGTCATGTAGAATTTCTGTCTCATTTCAAGGAAACAGAATTAAGAAAAATTGTGACATTTTCAATGCTGGACTTTACCAGGGTTTTTTTTCCCCCTAATAGATTATATTTAAACAGATAAAAACTTTCTATCATAGTATCACAAGTCATACTTTTATTAATTATATATCAGACCACTGTGTAACCATGGTGTTAAAACATCATTGCATTCAAATATTTATTTTCATTGAAGGCTTTTTTTCACAGGAAGGACCAAATTTGGGAGAAAATCACAATGTATTTTTTGCAACAGGGGAAGAAAATTAATTCCCTCTGTGAATTTAATTTTAGTTGAAAACTGCATAATTTTAAAAGATTATAACCTCTTGAAGAAGTTCAAGGATATGAGCTGAAGAGATCCACTTAGAATGGTACTTAATTGAATGATAAGGAAAAAAATCCTGTTTTTTGCAAATTTAAAGCAGCATGCCTCCAGATTCATGCTTATTTAGTGAAAATTTCTTATCCATATTTTAAAGTTAAATATTGTGAAATAAACAAAGATAGTAATTTACACATTGCAAATGGCACTTACAGTTTGCGTAAATTACAAAAAAGAGGTCAAAATATGCAACATTAACCCTTACTGTCTTAGTAGTTACTCAGTAGAAATATGTTGATAAATAC